ACCAACTAAGTTTTTTCTTTTCCTTTGTTCCATTTATTCTACTTGAATTATTCAGTATTTAGCATGCTTACTGTTATTTTGTAGTAGCAGTTGTTGTGTTTTGAAAATAAGCTATTAGGTTTATTGTTGTATATGTATGCATATACATTATAGTCTAAAGTGTGTGTTAAATACTCTGAGAGCTATTGCAAAAAAATTTATGACCGACTAGGAGACTCACGTGATCCAAGTTTTATACCTTTGAAAATTGCTAAAATTAATGATATTCATTGGCCAAATACATTGTCATATATTCACCTCTCCATTAGTGGAATCACAATCTCACATCACATCTTATAGATGCTTGTGAGATTAAGGATTATTCATTACTATACTACTTAGAAAAGCCACTCCTACTTCATTGGCTTCCACGTGTTGTCACGTGTCTAATAGAAACGGAGTTAACAGACTTAAAACCTGCTTAAAATAGAACACTTAATAATGTATCGACATATTGTGAGTATTTTGCCATACTTGTAAGCTTATTGTACATACATGTACTGTACTGTTTCTAATTAGTGTAGCTTGTTCTGCACATTATAACGATCTTTTTAAAATTTTAAATGTAGGTATCTACTTGATATCACATTAGAATGAATTACATGATGAATAGAGCAAGGGGCAATGGCTAGGTAAGTAATCTCCATTTTAATAGTTTTTCTGGTACACATATATGTTTTTATGTTGCATAGAAAATTTGAGCTGATTTTGATCAAATTTAGATTTTTAACGTATTTTTAAAAGTGACCTAAAAATTGAGCCAAAGTCCTGTACTATAGTACACAATCTTTAGCCAAATTTTTCCTTAAAAAGGTAATAATTTTCCATTTTATAATTTTTTCTGATACACATACATGTTCTTATGTTTTGCAGAAAGTTTGAGTTGATTCTGATCAAAATTAAATTTATTAATGATGCTCTAAAGTTTGGTCAAAAAATAGCTAGAACAGAAATTTGAATTTTTATTACATTTTTTAATTTACATACTTGCACTTATGTTATTTAGAAAATTTGAGTTGCTATATGATCAAACTGGTTTTCTTCAAAATTTGACCATGGATCATGTATGCATGAACTATCAATATAAAAATGCTGCAATACATTTTCTGAATTTAGAGCTGATTCCAATCAGGGGCATAGCTGGACCTTGGGTGATGGTAAGGCAAGGAGACAAAATGGCGCGCTTTGCGCGCCGCGATTTTGGCCACACCCCTTTTCCGTAACAAAATGGAGGCATTTTCCTGCAAGCTGAGCGAAATCAGAGTGAAATTATCATTGTATATAGCTTTAAAAAGAGCTGTGGTTATCAGCCACCCCCTTTTGTTACTGTAAGAACAATGAATATAATCTTTTGGGTTATAATTTCAATGAATATAATTATAAGGCCACTTTGATGGTAGGGCCCAGGCCCCCTCAGGCCCTACCTCAGCTACGCCCCTGATTTCCAATCATAAATATAATACACAGACAGGGATTGGAGACTTATACCTGTTTTAATTTTGTCATTGCCAATGGCTATTATTTATAGGTCATTAATAATTATTTATAACGACACATAACTATAAAAACTGTCACAATGCTGTTACAAACAGCAAATGGTAGTAATGGGGATATAACAAAAATTACAATTCTGCCTGTAATAAATTAAAAAAGAAGATGGAGACATAAAATCAGTTCTTGTACATGTACTGTAAGTCGGTGTAGAGGGAGTGGCTTGTTTCTAAAGCTCCACCCAGTACAGTAACAGGATCCTCCTTATTAATCATTAGTAATTGTTTATCAGGTGAGGATAGACTTGATGATATATCTGAGAAACTGGGACGATTATAAGTATCAGGATTCCTACATTGAATACAAATAAGGATATCAATATTCACTGGATTATCTTATTTTTAATAAAAATTATAGATATCACATTATATTAATTGTGTGTGGGCGTTCATGAAGCATGTTGTATTTGAATGTGAAATGACAATGACACTGTAGTATGTGGATATGGTGCAGTTAGAGTAATGTATGTATGTGTGACCATATCTAATCTAATTGTGCAAAGCCCCTACTTATGAAAATTTCTGTATGTATGCATGAATGCATGCATGCATACGTTTTGGGGTGTGACTAGGAGGTGCAGTCACAAGGCAGAACCCCTCAATGTTTAGATTCTTTCTAGTTTAGCCCTAGTTGGCATATTTGGCTGCACTTTAGTATGTTATTGTATTAAAATTCCATTAGTTGAAAACATGTTTGTGTTTTGCTAGTTACATGCA